GAGTCTCAAAGGGAGTTCGACCATTCTGGGCAACAGTATGGACCACCGGTCTGGGCTCTGTAAAGACGGGAGCTTGAAAAAATGGTCTGACAGTCTGACCAATCATAACAGTAGATGCAAGGGATGGAGAGTAGTTGGGAGGTAAACTAAACTCTGGCCAAGTTGAAGGCGGTATTTGAACAGGAGCAGGATCAACACTTGAAACTTCCTGAAGGACGGTTCTTTGAGATGGCTCTCCTCTAGCAATCAATACTTGAAGCATCTCGGTGAGCTTAGTCATGCCTGACTTCAACTCATCGATCTCCATTCGGACTTCTGTGTTATGTACTTCTTGCTCTGACATCTTGCGTCTATAGTTGGCTCTAGTCCGATATCGGTGTCGAGGAATCAGTTTGACGACTCAACGACACACTGGAAGATGAAGACAACCAGAGACGAACGACTGGACAAGCAGAGGTATGCAACAAACTGTGCAAAGATGCAAATGCAATGCAATGCTATGCAAGACTGGATGCAAAACACACATAACAGGATCAAAGGTTCGAGATCACAGCATGAGGTCTGGGTAAAGAACCAACCACAGGGTATGTACTACGGGTAAAGCACCTGCATAACAGGTTCTAACAAAGTTCCCAGAGTCTTCGACCCATCTTTCGGATATTATCGACACACCAACTACTTGGAAATTAATAATATTTTCAAGAGAGTCTCGTCTGAGTGTAGTATCGCATATCAACTACTTCAGGAATACTCCCTCATAGTCATCGCACTACGTCCTAAAAGGCCAAGAGGGGGTAAAAGGTAACTAAAAGTCCTTAGTGTCACAGGCTCCTAGGTTGAAAGTAGTAATGTTTTCAAGAATACTCGTTCAACAAAAATACTCCTAAGAAGGCCTCCACTGAGTGGTGGTTTCTCAAGTCAGCTTGGTCGGGAATCAACTCCCTATAAGCCTTCTTGAATATACCATCTTCCTATCATAAGTGCACTCAAGTCCGGGTATAAGACTTATCCTCACCACTCAAGGTAACAACCCTGCATATAGAAAAACCCATGCACAGACAGATATATACAAATATACAGGCAAGCAAACATATACCAAACACAAATATAAACAAGGTGGGCTTAACCTTCTTAGGGGATGTTCCCCAGTGAAGTCACCATTTCTGTTGCGGTGAGAATCGTGATACCAAGCTATTGATTAACTTGAATCTTAATTCTTAAATTCACAACCGGACTTTAATTTATCCAAGAAAGGAAAGGTTTAAAGAAAGAAAAACCTATAAAAATGCTAAGCAAAAAGCAAGGCTTAAAGCTAAGCAAAGAGATCTAAAGGTTCGAGGGTTGGGTATGCCTAGGGTAGGTATTTCACATCCTAAACATCTGTAGTACTCTACAAGAACCTCTTGTTAATATTTGTGTTTGCTAAAATTTGTTTGCTAAAGGAAATGTGCTAAGGGTAAAGATATAAAGTATAAAGTATGTACAAAGTTTGGTAAAGTATGCTCGCAAAGACATCGCATCTCGTGCCTACGTATCCTGACGGGAATGGAATCAGAGCAACCGTAGTTCCCCTGGTTAGAGGTGAGGAACTCTTGACTGTGGTCAAGGTTCCAAAGGTAAAGTAAATATCTGCAGCGAGACACTTACATAGAGTGCGGCGACTCTAAACTAAAGGTTAAGTTAGAAAAGAAGGGAATGTCCACGGCGGGACAACTAAATAGAGCACAACGACTCCAAGTCCTATGGCAAAGGTAAACAAAGGGAATGTCCACGACGAGACGACTAAATAGAGCACGACGACTCCAATTCTAAGTTATAAATGTTAACATGAAGTTAGTTGTTAGTGAGGGAGAAAGAAAAGGTTGGCTCGCTAAAAAATCGCATCTTATGCCTACGTATTCTCATCGAGAAATCAGAGCATTCGTAGTTCCCCTATTTAGGAGGGAAGAACTATTGACTGTGGTCAAGGTTCCAAGGGGATGTAAGCATTCATAGGGAAGTACTTACATGGAGTGCGACGACTCCTGAATCTAAGTTGAGATTGTTATGGTAGAGAATGTCCACGGCGGGACGCTAAACATGAGTACGGCGACTCAGATCCTAAGGTTAGGATAAAGGGTAAAGGATGTCCACGACGGGATGCTAAATAGAGTACAACGACTCCAATCCTAAGGTTAAGATAAAGGATAAAGGATGTCCACGGCAGGACGCTAAATAGAGCACGATGACTCCAATCCTAAGGTTAAGACAAAGGGGAGAGAATGTCCATGGAGGGGCGCTAAATAGAGCACAACGACTCCAACCTTAAGGTTAGGAAGGTGTAAGAATGTCCACGGCGGGACGCTAAAAGTGAGTACGACGACTCAAATCCTAAGGTTAGGGTAAAGGGTAAAGGATGTCCACGGCGGGACGCTAAATACAACACAACGACTCCAATCCTAAGGTTAGGATAAAAGGGTAAAGAATGTCCATGGTGGGACGCTAAATAGAGCACGACGACTCCAAGCCTAAGTTGCAAAGATAAACATGGGGAATGTCCACGGCGGAACGACTAAATAGAGCACGTCGACTCTAATTCTAAGTTGTAAATGTTAACAGGAAGTTAGTTGTTAGTGAGTTAATGGGTTAATTTGGAAAAGTGTGAAGTTGGTTAGTGGGCTCGCCAAGACGTCGCATCTTGTGCCTACGTATTCTCATCGAGAAATCAGAGCGTTCGTAGTTCCCCTAACTTTTCGATTACTTCTCAATTCTTGATCAATTGGTCACAAAACTTCATTATTAGATATTAAATGATGTTGGGAGCATAGTTGGCTTCAATTTTGGGTTAAAACCCTGTTGGTCAATGGGTTGACTTTTCAGTCAGATGAACCGAACGATCGGAAACCTCTGAATTGACTGTTGGTGTCCTGGGTCTTCTGAGGCCTTGAAACTTCTTGAATGGACTTCCCTGAGCCATATGAGATTCATGGACCATAACTCCATCATTGGAACACCTTTTAAATCAAAAGTCAAACTACAGTTGACTTTTCATAATTAGAAACCCTAATCGGGTGTCCTGGATTGCACTGTTCTTGATCTTTGGGAAACAAACTCAAATTGGACTCATACTTGACCCAATGTAGTATCTTTGATGATGTGGAGACTTGGTCATGGAGAATCAATCCAATACGTTGACTGATTAAACCGTCGAAACCTTAATTCCTGACTGTACAGAACCCTAATTCACGTGTATCTTAACAAAGACAAACTTGAAATAGATTAAGGGTTAGATAAACAAATGAATAAGATCCTAAAATGATGATGAAGATCTAAGGGGTCAAAATTTGGGGTGCAACAAGGAGGCAGATCCTTATTAGCTTTAGCGGCCACAACAATAATGTGGCGTTGAGCTGCACATTTAGTTATCTTCGATGTAACTATGGCTTTGCAAGTTCGACATATGATCCGTTTGAGAAAGAGATTGACATTTTGTGAGAAGAAGATCAATGATATGAATCTTCAATGAAGAGACAATGATTTTTCGTGAAAAGAATGATATGAATTAGCAGTCGATTCCCACAATCGACTCCACTGTTTTTTGTGTGAACTATAAGTATATGATGAAATGATAGAATATAACTTAAATGCGACGAATCAGTCTTCCGATGCAGTGGATTAGACTTTCAATGCAGTGGAGATGAAGTGGACCTACAAGGTTATTACTTCAGAGCCCAAATCAGTGAATGAGTGAATTTTAAAGTGAGAATTAATTGAATACATGAAATGACGCAAAATAATCTTTATATAATATAAGTGGTTAAAACTATCCACACGTGACTTAAAGTCTTATGTAGATTAACATTTGATTAGATCCAACAATGAAAATGTGATGAAAGGCATGGACACGTGTCAGCGACAAGACAAATATCGACTTACTTCCTCATCTTCTTCTTCAATATTTATTAGATGTGATTCTGTTACGAACCAAATTTTAACACACATATGTCAATATTTTTATCTTAGCACATTGTTAGAATAATATAGTTTTAAATAAATTGAAAACCACTTTAAACCAACGTTTTTTAAATTAATAAATAAATAAAACACTTGTTAACACTCAATGTTACCAAGTATTTTAATACTCAATGCTCTACATGTATTTTAATACTCAATGTTACCTTTTTTATAAATAAAAAAACAAAGAATTTGTGAAATCAATTCATGAGAGTGAGACACGCCTCATAACTCCTCTTTGAGAATAACACAAGCATCGTTCACAAACAACCCGTTTCCATTCATTCCCTCGGTTTTTCCGATTCTCAAACCCAGTACGGCCAAACTGTAGAAACAGCCACTAACTCCACTTTCCAACCGTTCAGATCTCGCCACGTCAACAGAAATTCACAACATCACCCCGTGGCACCGTCACCGCCGTCTAAAGTGCCAGTAATTAATGAATTTGGAGGGAAAATAAATTCCACCACGGTATTTTTATTTTCCATGGAGGAAAGAAAGAAAAAAGAAACGTATAATTAAAGATTTATAAAATAAATAAAAGAAAAAAACATTGAGAAAGTGCACCATGTCCAATGTCCATGGTTTGGTAATTGGCGTTTTATAAAGCGGCACTGCAAATTCTTAATCCCAATTTATCGTTTCTCTCACTCGCGTTCTTCTCCGATCAGTTTCGGTTTCGCCGGCGATTTGCGTCACTGATCGGCGTTTTCGAGGGTTTTAATTGTCGTTCAATTTTCTGCTGCGGTAAGTTTCTCGATCGAAACGTTTTGTTAAGTAATTATTTTCACCGTTTTTGTTGGCTTTCTTCCGGCGAGGAGAGGAGAAGAGAAGAATCCTTGCATTCCGATTGATTGTTTGCTTCAGATCTGGGAGTTTATGGTGGGAGATTTGTGTTGACTTTGATTTAGGGTTTTCTTTGTTGAATTAGGGTTGGATTTCGTGCTTAATTACTGGTGATGCTTTTTTTGGGGAATTAGTTTTTTTTTTGTTCTTCTTTTGGCTGGATGGAACCGGGCACCAGAATAACTAGCCCTTCAGGGGTCGTGGTTAAGAATAGGAGCTCTTCGGGTTGTTTGATTGTTAGAAAAAAAGGAGATGGTTTGGGTGGTGTTTCTTCTAGTTCGCGGAAACAGTATGAATCTAAGAAAGTGAGGAAAAGGGTCAAGGAAGAGTCAAGTGATTCAGAATCAAGCGAGGAGTTACTTATGCCGCCTGCTAGAAGGCCTGGTCCTGAGACAATTCGAGTATGTAATAGTTTGAGTGCTCTTGAGCGAGGTGGTAATGTTGGGAGCGGTGAGATTAGTAGGAAGAGGGAGAGAATGGGGCAATTTGATGGTGATGGGGTTGGCTTGGAGAGGAGGGACAAGAAAGTTAAGTTGGAAGTGTTTGATTTTGATGAATATGACGGAGTGGGTGCGGAAAGGATGAGAAGGAGGCAACTTGATGGTGATGGGGTTAGTTTAGGCGGAGGAAGGTTTATGGGAACAATGCATTCTGGTAGAGGTAGCATTGATAGGGAATTTGAAAGTGGTTCAAGCAGACGCATCGTGGACAAGAGAAAAAGTACCTATCATGACAGAGCAAGTGGATCGTATCTCGGAGATAGTGTTGACCATAGTAGGATAAAGGTGAAAAGGGAAGGAACTCAGCATCCTCTGCCGTTGTTGAAGGAGAAGTTTAACTCTGATGAGTCCATTAGGGTTCAGGGGAAAAATGGTGTTTTGAAGGTGATGGTCAATAAGAAGAAGACGGGTGGATCAGTAGAACACTATGAACATCGGAAACCAGTAGAAAGCAGACCTAGTGGAAGGGCTGAGGGCACTTCTAAGAGGAATGTTCCGGTACAACCTTCATTACGTTTAGAAACAAAATCTGCCGAAAAACAGGGCTTACTTGTTAGGTCGGAGAAGAAACAGATAACAAGAAAATCACTTTCAAGCAAGGAGGACAGTAAGGGTGATGAGCAGGATTCCGATAACAATGACACATCAATGAATATGGAAGTAAAAAATATTAAAGCTCACACATCTTCAAAAAAGATTACTTCTGAAAATGAACAGACTCCTGCACATGACAAGATCCCAACAACAAAATCGAGTGAAGGGAAAATCAGGCGAGGTAGTGGCACAGAAAAGCAGAAACTAAGAGAACAAATACGGGAAATGCTTCTGAATAAAGGCTGGACCATAGACTATCGCCCTCGAAGGAATAGAGACTATCTAGATGCAGTTTACATTAATCCCGGGGGAACAGCTTATTGGTCCATCATCAAGGCCTATGATGCACTTCAAAAGCAATTGATTGAGGATGATCAAGAGGCCAAGGCCAAAGGGGCGAGTTCTTCTTTTGCTCCTATTGCGGATGATGTGCTCAATCAATTGACAAGGAAAACTAGGAAGAAGATGGAGAAGGATTTAAAGATGAAGAAGAAGAAGCAAAGAGCTGATGACAATGATAGTGGAAAAGAACAGCAGATAAAAAGAACTGCTGGCAAAAAGCATCGTATGAATGGCAATGATAGTGATAGCAATGAAGATAAGTTAAGCTCCTTTATCAAGCAAGGAGGTAAATCAGTGAAAACTAAATTGCCTGAAATTTCTGTTACCGGCGGTAGCTCTAAAAGCCAGAATGCTACAACTGATAAATCATTTTCTGAAAGTGATCCCAAGCTCCTACACGGAAGGAAAAGTAGAAAACATGGAAGGTGCACTCTATTAGTTCGTAGTTCTAACAAGGGATTGAATTCCGAATCTGATGACTTTGTTCCATATACGGGAAAGCGAACAGTGCTTTCCTGGTTAGTTGACTCGGGGGTAGTACAGGTAAGTCAAAAGGTTCAGTATCGCAGAAGGAAGCGAGTAATGCTGGAGGGATGGATCACAAGAGAAGGCATTCACTGTGGCTGCTGTAGTAAGATCCTTACGGTTTCAAAGTTCGAGCTTCATGCAGGAAGCAAATTGCCACAACCATATCAAAACATCTATTTAGATTCTGGAGTTTCTCTTCTACAATGTCAGATAGATGCGTGGGAAAAACAAGAGAATTCTGGGAAAATCAGTTTCCATTCAGTAGATGTTGATGGTAATGATCCAAATGATGATACCTGTGGTATATGTGGAGATGGAGGGGATTTAATCTGTTGTGATGGTTGTCCATCAACGTTTCATCAGAGTTGCTTGGATATACAGGTATGCATTCATTGTATTTTTCTTTTGGGCATACTAGATGTTACTATGGGTCTTCAAATTTTAATTTGTAAGTCATTGGTCTCTGTAAGGTTTTGTGTTGGCTCCTATTTTAAAAAAAAATATCCTTGGGGCTTGGGCTTTTTAAAACATCTCTTTTTAATAATGGTTTTGGTGGAAGAGTTGGGAGCTTTGTTTCTCAGACAGCTGGAGGAGAGTGACAACCCGGCATTATTCTCTTATTATACTTTTGCCATACTTCTCAGTGGATATGTTGAGAATTGGTATTTTCGGACACCTTTTGCTTAATGATATTTTGGAATGGAATGTTCGTTGTCAAGAAAGTGTTGTAAATGAAAGAATTAAATCTTAAAATAGTTTTTATGCCTGGAATTGTATTTTGGTTGATCAATAGGTGATGTATTGCTGTAAATCTTTTTATTTTTTCTCTTTATTTACGGGGTGTTGAATAGGTCTTATTGCTGTAAATAATTTTATTTTTTCTCTTTATTTACGGGGTGTTGAATAGGTCCTATGATCTATGTAGCACAGACACCTCTGAAAACGGCGTGTCCGTGTCGGGGTCAGACACCTGCACCGACTCTTATGATTACGTTTAATTTATTCATTTTTTTAAATTATTACTGGTGTCGCCGTGTCAGTGTCGAGATCGTGTTTGGGGTGTACGGGCTTATCCACATACTGTAATAGTTTATCACTGCCAATGATGTTATTGATACCTTAGTTTGGCAACATAATTGGCGATGATTATTTTCATTCTGAGGAACTCATTTGTTCTGTTGCAGATGCTTCCCCCTGGGGATTGGCATTGTCCAAATTGCACCTGTAAATTTTGTGGACTAGCCAGTGGAACTATTGAGAAAGAAGATGATGCAACTGTATATGCCCTACACACCTGTGATTTGTGCGAGAAAAAATGTATCTTACTTCTCCCTGTTTAGATTTAAAGTTCTTGCAATATGCGTTCTGCCTTATCTCTTTCTTTTGTTATGGTTTGATTTTGTCTAATACACAGCCTTCTGTTTTTATAGATCATGACTGCTGTACTAAGGATATGAGTGCCCTGCTTGCCAACTCCAATATGTCAGGGCATTCTTTTTGTGGAAAAAGTTGCAAAGAGGTATCCTTTGCATGTTCTTTTGCCCTAGTTTATAGATTATTTATACTTTAGAGTTGCAGAGATCTTCTCTCCACAAATTATGTATTTAATATTTGGTTAACTGAGCTCACACAAGCAGCAAAACCGAAGTGAACTTTTGTAGAACTGAGGCTTGATTGAATTTCTTTCTTTATGCTTTTCAGCTTTTTGAGCACTTGAAGAAGTACCTTGGTACCAAGCATGAACTTGATGCAGGCTTTACATGGTGTCTTGTTCGTAGAACAGACGATGAATCGGAGGCAGTTAGTAGGGGAGTCACCCAGAGGGTGGAATGCAACTCCAAGCTGGCTGTTGCACTGACTGTGATGGACGAATGTTTTTTACCTGTTGTTGATAGAAGGAGTGGGATCAATTTAATCCATAATAGTTTATATAATAGCGGGTAAGAACCAGTAAGCACTTTATGGCTAAACCATATGCTGTTTGGTACATGAGATGCCTTCTGTTAATAATTATGATAGCTGAATGCTTGTCTTATTTCGGTATGTTACATCCTTTAGCATATGTAAAACTGCAAACAGTTGGTTTCTTTTGTTGTTGTTGTTTTTCTTTCAAGTATTTCTGTGACATAGTTTTGCTAATTTAAGTAGGTTTAAAGGGAATTCAAAATTTTATAAAAATTATACTACCAAGTACAATGATTGTTGCTAAAAAATTACAGCACTTACAGAATCATTTGCCATGAGCTTCAGCATTGTGCTTGATGTTCCATTTCCATCAATTTCAAAATAAAAATCATCAACTGTTTCTCTAGGACAAACTGTACATAGTTGCTTATTGCTTTATCTTCTGTCTGCAATATAATGTACTGGCCATAACTGATAAATGAAAAAACAAAGTAATACAGAAAGTTTACAGCCCTATCCAATAAGCACCGGGAGGCCATAAACACAATCGTATTCCAGATAAAATCTTGGGTGGCTTAGACTCTTAGGATGCAGGAAATGGATTGTAGTTTTGGCATAAAAACTGCGAGATTTTGAAAGGGTGTGTAGCCTGTCCTGATCGCCACTTATTTATGTCTGAAACCTAAACAGCTTATTACATGAACTATGTTGAACATATGTTCAATCCATCTTCTAAACCAGAATCAATGAAACACTTTCAAAGATATCGCTGTCCTCTTCTCTACATTTCCACTCTGGAACATCACATTTTATGTTGTACTTATTCTTTATACTGCAAGGCATCGCTCATCTTGCTTTTATATTGTTGCAAATGACTACTATGTTTCCTTCTCTGTCTTATTCTACTAAATATGTTTCATGGTGTTGATCTCATAATTTTGACTGCATAATACTTCATATTGTTTTCTGTAAGATGCGTGCTTTTGACCTTTATGGGTTTTCTGTTTTTACTTTTATAGGTCAAATTTCAGTCGTTTGAATTACACTGGCTTTTATACTGCTATTTTGGAGCGGGGGGATGAAATAATATCTGCAGCTTCTATCAGGTACTGTGTGTCTGCCGCTGTCGTTTTATGTTATCTTTCTGCAAAACTTTATGGGGAGTCTCACTTAACTGACTCTTTTTTTTTTTCCCCTATTAGGGAAAAAATTTGAGTTATTTGCGCTTCACTTACTACCAAGCAAAATGAGAGTAAACTTACATCTAGGGTATTTTTTGTCTTGTTTTAGGTTCCATGGGACTAAGTTAGCAGAAATGCCATTCATTGGAACTCGCCATGTATATAGGCATCAGGGAATGTGCCGCCGGCTTTTTTCTGCCATTGAACATGTAAACCTTCACATCCTTTTCTGTCCTCTTTTATCTGATATCTTTATACAATTTTTCTAGGCATATGCCCTTTTGCATACATTTTTATGGAACTGACACGCTCTTATCTCAATCTCTACTTCTGTATTGGAAGGCCCTTTGCTCTTTGAAGGTTAAGAAACTGGTCATTCCTGCAATTTCTGAACTTGTTCATACATGGACAACAGCGTTTGGCTTCACACATCTTAAGGAATCACTCAGGCAAGAAATGAGGTCATTGAATATGTTGGTGTTCCCTGGTATTGATATGTTACAGAAGCTTCTAGTGGAGCAAGGAAAACTTGATGGTAATACAACTGATGAAGGTGTTGATTATTTATGTACTTATTTATCAGATTTCAGCAAATTATTTTTTATTTTATGTTTCACTTTTCTATTCCAACAGATGCTGAGCAATTCGAGAATGGCAGCGAGGTTTCTGTTAAACCCATTGTGGTCAATAGGTTAGGTATTGATTCTTTGGCTTTGCGAGATCCCCATGAAAATGAGGATGCTAGCTCCAATCCTGCCAATAAGATTAACACTGAATGCAGTGATGCTTCTCAAGATATAAGCAGTCAAGGTTTGACTGGCAGGACTGTATGCTCCAAATCTCTTTCTGAAGAAAGATTATCTGATTCTGTTTCAGAAAACTGTGCTTCTCCTTCTAATTCTAGTCATGGCGTAATCAAAAAGAAAAATAAAATATTGACGTCTTCTCCTATCAATGATATGTCACCCAAATGTCTACTCATTTCACCAAATGGCAAATCCACAAATGGTCTTCCATCGGATCCCTCAGATTGCCATGAACTTCCAGCTTTGTGTCAAGCTACTGCGTGTTCTGACCTAGGTACTATAAAAAATCTGGTTGAACCTGTTTCTGACGGGAAACCCCATGCTTTTATGAATTGTGGTTTGCCGGGGCTTGCCCGAAATCCCGTGTTGGATTCTCGAGTGGTAGATAATGCTTTGTCTTTTAAAGAGTTCGATATGAATGATGCCCAAGTTGAGGTTCTTGAAGCTGGCCTTTTAGTCAATTCATCTCAAGGGAACAATATCAAAGAGAATAATGAAAATTTAAATTACTCTGGTTCTGCTCTTAATAATGCTTTCACTGATATGGATAGTGATTCACTAGAACTTGACCAAAAATCTGTGTTGGATTCTCGAGTGGTGGATAATGCTGTGTCTATTAAAGAGTTTGATATGAATGATGCCCCTGTCGAGGTTCTTGAAGGTGGTCCTTTAGTGAATTCATCTGAAGAGAACAATGCCAAAGTGAATAATGAAAATGTAGATGACTCTGGTTCTGCTCTTAATCATGCTTTCACTGATATGAAAAGTGGTTCGCCAGGACTTGACCAAAATCCAGTGGATTCTCGTGTGCCGGACAATGTTTTGTCTTATAAAGAGGTTGATATGAATGATGCCCATGTTGAGGTTCTTGAAGCTGGTTCTTTAGTGAATTCATCTCAAAGGAACAATACTGAAGAGAACAATAAAAATGTAGATGTCTCTGATTCTGTTCTTAATCACACTTTCACTGATATGAAAACCGATTCTCCGGGGCTTGACCAAAATCCCGTGCTGGATTCTCGAGTGGCTGTTAATGCTTTGTCTTTTAAAGAGTTTGATATGAATGATGCTCATGCCAGGGTTCTTGAAGCTGGTCCTTTTTTGAATCTAACTCAGGGAAACAATGCTGGAGATAATGAAAATGTAGATGTCTCTGGCTCTGCTCTTAATCACGCTTTCACTGATATGAATCGTGATTCTCCGGGGATTGACCAAAATCCTATGTTGGATTCTCAAGTGGCAGATAATGCTTTGTCTTTTAAAGAGTTTGATATGAATGATTCCCGTGTTGAGGTTCTTGAAGCTGGTCCTTTAGTGAATTCAACCCAGGGGAACAATACCGAAGAGAGTAATGATAATGTAGATGTATCTGGCTCTATTCTTAATCATGCCGGTGAGAGTTCCTTGCAGGTAAGATCTGATTTGAATGTTGAAATTGCATGCGAGGTCAAAAAGAAATCACATTTGGACTCAAAAGTTGCTTCAAATGAAATGCACTTTGATGAAACTGGCCTAAATGCTTCTGGTAATAGTACTGAGACTGATCGAGCATTGAATGGTTGAGGCTAACACTGCTGATGTCTTCCGTACTACAGCTCATGCAACTCTTACACAATTTTCCATTCAAAGATTCAATGCCTTATATGCAATCAATTTTCAAGGCTTTGGAACTTTTATGTCATGCTTTAATCTGGAGAGTCTGAAAAGGTTATATAGATTTCAAGGGAAATAGTAGTGGGTCCCTTGCGTTGTTGTTTAAGTATGAATTTTCTCAAAGTTCTAAGTTGACTTCATTCCATGTGAATGTTTCTTCTGCCAAAAATGCTTCAAGGTTGCTTTTGGTTCAAGTTCTGTGTCCAAATGGGTTGATCGGGTGATGATGCTTTTCATGTAATGTGCACCCATCTTTCATAGGTTCATACCGAGGCAAATCTTTGACTCTATTATATATATGATATGATATATGGTTCTTGTTGTTTGTATCTGAAAAAAAATCCGGCGTGCGCTATTGACAAATTTTTCCATAGTAACTCATTACATGGTATCAGAAGTCACATATACTTAGAACAATTACAATTTTATTTTTATTTTTATTTTTTTATGATACTTCTATTTTTATTTACTTGTCTACTATATTTATTTTTGTCGAGCCATAGATGGTACCAAGAAACTATGTTTTTCCAAACCTCAGGCCAGTCTGCCCAGCCTCTTCAATTGGCCTTTCAATGGACGCAAATGTATCCCCCAAAACTCAAAGGTTTGTCCTGTTAAAGTTGAAGGTGTTTTGCATAGGATTTTCGTATATATTAGAAACCTAATTTGTGGGTGCACTACAGTAATAATGACCGTACTTGAAGGATGTAAAGACTATCTTTGTGAAAGGTTTATTGGTGTTGATGATGTTTTGTTTTTGTTTCTTCAACTTTTTTTGTAATGAAGGTTATATAATATGTTTGATATCAAAACGGAAATCATCATAATATTGTACTATGGTCATCATGGTGATAGCTAGGTGCTTGTTGTTTTTGCAGTTTCTGGGTATCTCTCGTTTCACGGGTCAGAGTCCTCTTCTTGATATAGACAGAAATGGTGTATTTGATGAATGCAAGATATTTATTTCCTGACCAATATAATTAATTGCTACAATCAGTTAGTTTTCCATTTTAAGTAGCTTATAATAATTATTCATACCCAACTTGGATGTAGGGGTAACATAGATTATAAACCAAATCATATATGTGGATTTGGTTTGGATTTTAAAACTATTTATATAAAATCCGTTTATTTTTTAAAAATTGGTTTACAAATGGATTGGTTCGGTTTCAAACTGGTTTTTAAAAAAAAACAGTTTTTTTAAAAATCAGTTTTAAATTGGTTTTTCTCAAAACCAGTTTTTTTATTTTTTTTAAAAAAAACCAATTTTAAAATCAATTTAAAAAAAAATCAATTTTATTGCAAACTATTAAATAATTGATAAACCACCTGAAACTTATTCTACTTTAAACTTATTGCAAACTATCAAATAATTGATATAAATCAATTAGTCAATTTTATTTCAGTTTTACATTGAATTAAATCAACACTACATATATCTTAAACTTTAAACTAATTAATGTAAAACTGGAATTAGACTAATTCCTTTTCATCGTGAATTAAACCAATTAATTGAGAAGTACGTTGAATTGATATAAATTAATTAATCGTGAAATTTATTCTACTTTAAATTTATTGCAAATTATCTATCTTAAATTTATTCTACTTTTAACCAAATCAATTTTATTGTAAACATGGGTGTTGATCTTGATTTTTTCAAACTATTCTACTTTTGTTTTTGAAGCTTATTGAGAAATGGTTACCGAATTTCAATCCGGTTTGAAACAAATGATTATCGTTTTTTTCTTTAATTTGATAAATGGGCCACCAAATTTAAAATATAAATTTGGACTGGATTTTAAAATTTGAATTAATTTGGATAGGAATTTGGTTTATGGTTATTGTTTATTTTGCACACCTATGTGTGTGTGTGTGTATATATATATATATATATATATATATATATATATATATATATATATATATATATATATATATATATATATATATATATATATATATATATATATATATATATATATTACCTTAATTGTCATTTATGACCATAAAACAAAAAAATGACAAAGAGTTTGAAAAATGGATTAACCATGGTTTAAAAAGTGGACAGCGATTTTTAATGATTTTAGTAAAATGAATTTTGAACTAGTTTTTAAACCAAATAATATAGAATTTTGAAATCGGTGCACCATATTTTTAAATTTGGTTCTTGTGAACCATTTTTTTTTTGCACACATCTACTTAAATATTTTTGTATTCTCTTTGTTGATCATCATGATTAAAGCCTAAACTTCTTTAAAAGAATGAAAATATAATAACAAACATGAGAATATTATATAATCCTCAATGTAGAGTATATTATTGGCTGGTTAGATACACTCATACAAGAGAGGTAAATTTTCCATGGGTTACACGAATTTTATTGAAAATACATAGTTCAATTATTTTAAAAATATATTTTTTAATTTAGTTGTTAAATATAAATTAAAATATAAAAAATATTATTATGTTTAATTTTGTATTTAAAATTAGAGTATTATTTAAAAATATGAGAATTTGTCTTTATTGTAGTTAGATTGTTGCGGACCGAGGAAAAAGACTAACATATTTTTGTTTATAGAAGTGTAATGGATTTTCTTTTTTTTGAAATAACACGTTATTTCAAATAAAATATTAAAATAACTGAGGTTTTAAAAAAATTTACCAAACTAACTCATTTTTAACATGCATGCGCCATATGATTCGACGATAACATTGAAAATGTAGATGGATTGAATTGATGTGTCATGTCATATGGCGACACCATTCAAAACCCTAATATTTTTAGAGGAGACGTCCTATGATACGACGCTTCAGTTTAATCTTTTTTTTTATTAAAATTATTATTTTAATTAGAAAATTAGGAAATTAAATGAAAAAAATTAAAATAATTCAAAGAAAAATTAAATAACAAGATTTGCAATATAAAAAGCGTATAACAGATGGAAAAAGTAATTCAATGACTGACCCTATCAAAATGTCCACTAGTTCCACATGGCAGTGCATTTGCGCGGCGTCGAGGTCTACCACGATTTTGTTGAGGTGCTTGTGGCCTTTGCGTGTTGATATGTGGAAGAGGTATTTGTTGAGATGGTCCCGGCGAATCAGACAAATTTTGAAGCATCTTTCCTCAATAGTTGGGGGGTTGCTGCCAACGACGCTTCTGTAATTCAGTTCCATGCCCATGTTTTCGTAGTTAGGACGGGGTGGTTGGGTTGGCTGTGGACGGTATGGTTGGCCGAATTGGTATATTGAATCGTTTTGAAAATGATGCAAGGGTTGTTGTGGGGTTTGGTAGTCAAATAGTGGGTAGGTATTTTGATGGTAGGACAATTGTGTGTTCAGTTGTGGGGGGCTATAGTGGGCTGGGCTGGGGTCAAAAGAGTTATCGGGGCTATAGTGAGATGGGGTGGAGTCGAAAGAGTTATCAAGGTTATAGGCAGATGTGGTGTCGATGTCGGGAGGCTTGCGGTAGGGGTAAGGATCTTGTTGTTGTGATTGTGTTGGTGGCATGAATGGGTTGTGATTCTGGAAGATTAATTGGGTGGGTATACTTGGTTGTTGAGTATAACACGATGTTTGATGTTGGGCATGTGTTTGTTGTTGTGTGTGTGTGAGGAAAAAGCACGTTGGCGCGAATCAATCAAATATGTCGGCTCAGACGCAAATTGTTGTGTTGTTGTAACCGACCTAAACCAAATCATATATTAATGACTTGGTCTAGCCCCTTCCACAACAGGGTCGGCTTAGATGTGTCGATGTAGATTCTTTCAATGTAGACACATCTCTTTTGCAAAGTCTTTCCAATGATCTACACCTCATTGTGTATCCTCCCTAAGTTGATGCCAGTCTCCTAAAGACGTCGGAGCGACTGGGATATCCTGATGTATGTCGAACTGTAGTTTCACCTTGATACATCTCTACTGCAGTGAACCGAATGATCGGTGTTTTAGGTGTCTACACTGTAGCATCATCAGCGTGGGGCTGATGGTCGAGACCCTTATACGACCTCCATACAAACTACATGAACAATAGATTTAATGAGAAAAACTACGGTGTGGTAATTTAATAGACAAATTTATGGTAGTGTAAAAATAAATTACATCGTCCGGCGCAATATGTTCTAAATGATTGCGGTAGACGATTATTGAGTTCCTGGGACATCGTTGATAATTCATTTCCGGAACAGACCACCTAAAAAAAGTGACACAAATAAATTAGTTACAAAGAAACATTTCATCAAAGTATACACATTTTGATTTTTAAAAATAAACTTTCTTGTTTGCATAAGGGAATGTGAATGAATTCCGGTTGATAGGAGCTAGTGTTGGCATTCTAGACCAACCTCACGCTTGAAGTAGATAGGCACAACCAAAAAAAGTACAAGTATTTTTTTTTTGAACTTTTACACAGTGAACTATGTAGATGGGCGAGGGCAGCTGAACCCCAACTATAGGTGCACACTTTATTAATATTGTGTAACAATGGTAAATACATTATATTTACACTATTTCCAGTATTTTCTAGAAATAAAAAAATGTCCAAATAAGATCATAGCACCGAGTTTTAACTATCTGTCATATTCGGTGGATTCTTCATCTAATATGATAGTATTAGATTGTTCTTTTAGGTATTTTAAATTAATACCTTAGCCCCTTGGTCAACCTTCACGTTGTGGCTGAGGTGTTTCGACACAAAGAGGGGCGCCCAGCAAATCTTCGTAAAGTTGGTTATTAACACCAATTTTTTTGTTGACGGCCTTACCATTGATGCGTAGGCCAAGTAACATATAGACATCTTGTAGTGTGATAGTGCATTCACCGAAAGGAGGGTCAAATGCGTGGATCTCTGGTCTCCAATGTTCTAGCAAAGTTAGAATAAATTAGGGGTCAAGTGAGTACAATTTGACTTTT